CGTAGGAAGGAGCTTTAGGGGGATTTCCAAGTGACAAGCACCATTTACTAATAAATTGTCTCAGAATATAAAAATGTGACCCTCTCAGGTGGTTCAGCCACAGTGTTTGCAAACTGTGACCAAGTATCGGATTCCTGCCTTTTTGCTAAGCGCTCGCCATGGAACAATACAGGGCTGTGACTCCTCGCTCAAGCTCTGATTGTGTAGACCGTAATTAAGGATTTGGACGAGGATGAATGGCAAAGAATGCCACTGTGCAATTGGCTGTAACCAATGTGACCTGAACTGATCCTGTACCTGGGGAAAAAAAAAAAAAGAAGAAAAAAAAAAGAGAAGGAAGGAAAAAAATGACCTCTTGTACCCTCTTCTATGATCCGTGTATGTAGTTAGCACGGACTCCCCTGCCAGGCTTTTCATCGCTGTGCTTTTAAAACCATTAGCTTGCTTTGTAGTCTTAGCAAGACATACATTTTTGAGCTATCATAAATGAAATCTTAGAAGATACCTTTCAACATATGCCAGGCACAGTTAAAAAAGAAAAAGACCATTATGGCTCTTTAAAGAAGGGGAAAAAATCCTCAGGGTGAAATGGTGCAGACATTTTGTAGAATATGGAAAGTTTGAAAGAAGTTAACACAGAATAAAGGGACACAAGAAAACATGGCTGCGTTACATAGAGAGGAGACAACCTGGATAGACTATAGTTTTAATAGGATTCTTTCCCCCTACAAATTAGTTTTCATCTTCTGTGGTAAGTCAGGTGATGCCACTTTGTCTCCCACTAACTCCTGATACTCTTTTCTTTAATAAAAATCAGAATACATTACCAAAGTTTGTCTCGTATAATTCAGCTGTTATCTGCTGTCATAGGAGAAAACATATGACTGGAAAGAATGTATATCTCAATTTATTTTGGAAAAATTGGGTTTATGATTTTTCCAGTGAAAGTTTTATGTGGCATTTGAATAGCACTATGTGGAACAGATTCAGCCTCCCACCTCCCAGATTTCCTCAGTGTACGGATAGATGTGCCAAGGCTCTTTACCTGAATCTGGATCTCTGAGTCTGAACTTAGACCAGACATAGAACTTTTATGATTCACATTGACTACGGAAAAGAGTTTTTATTGTACTAGACGTCTTTTGTTAGGACCTTGAAGCTGGCACATTGTGAACTGGGTGGGTCAGAGCTCTCCTGCGCTCATACGTTGGATGCTAAGGTTTACTGATTTCATTGAAAAACAAACAGGCAGATTTTAATGTTTTAGATCCTACTTGTAGTCAGGAGTGGTAGAAACCAAGTTCATTTTGCAACAGACGGGAACATATATATAGCAGTAGCGGATGTCTGGGGCACACTGAATCGGAGATTGGGAGGACACCAAGCTCTTTTTCTTTTTTTATAGTAAACAGCTGGGAAATGTGGAGGAGTCAGGGCCCCTCATGGTACAGATGTTTCTCTCTTAGAGCAGTGAATAATAAAAATCCTGTAAGAAAATAAGTAGCTGTTTTAACTGAAAGAAACACAAATAGTTAATTCAGTGAGACACAGAAGCAAAGCCTTGAACAGGTTCGTTTATGGAATAGTTGTAGTGTATACAACACTTTGATTTCACTTTTCTGGCTTTATTTCCCCTATGATTTTTTGGTTTTTTTTCTTTTTCAGTCATGCACATTTGCTGGGGGGGGAAGGGGGAAGAGGAGGGAGAATAAAAAAAACATACTGTTTTTCTTTTACTGAATTCTGCCTGTTTGGAATAGACACCTCCTTAAAGTCTTACTCTCCTTACGCTCTATAATGGTATTTGATTTACCTGTGTCAATTCCCTGGAGTTAAATACACTTTAGAAAGAACACCTTGGGCTTAGGACTCCTGACCCCTGATGTCGTCCAGACTGTCCTCTATGCAGGATAAATCCACAAACGGAAAAAGATTCCCACTGACAAATGATGATAACTTCCACCTCCTCTTATCCAGGAAAAAGATCTTTCAGGAATGTGCCTTTGACCATACCATAATGGTAAACTCAACCTCACATTAATGTGACTCATATCAATCACAGTATGTGTAAAACCTGTGGTCCTACCCACGCCTTTACCGTCAGGTACTTGTGACTACATTTTCATGGACCTCTCAACCACTCCTCTATCTTGAGTCAGGTTCAATATAACATAGGTTGTATATGCAGATGTTAATATTGTCTGTATAAATTAAACTGCCAATCTACTATAAAACTACCAGTGGGATTAAATTTATTTCTTACAATATTCCTATTCCTTATTTGCATCTAGTTCTTATTCAAAAGTATTGCATATTTTCCATAAAATCCAAGGCATAAGGATGCATCTTCTAATTGAGAAGATTCAGGGTTTTTGCTCCAAAAGGTGAAGTGGATGATTACAGACTATATTTTTACAAGGTATATTCACAGCTATCAGCGTGACAGACCTTTGTGCACTTCGAACTTTCAGGGTCTTAGAGATATTTTTGTAAAGTACAGAGCACACAAGGGTCAGTGATCTTTGGTTGATAGCCGTGCAGTACAATGCATGAAACAAACAAACAAAACATTTCTTCTGGAGAAAAAAAAGCTTTTTTGTGTGTTTTGGCAAAAAGAAATAAAAAGAGAGGAAAGAGAAAGGGAAATGGGAAGGGGAAAGGGAAGGGGTATGGGAGGGGGAAGGGGAAGAGGAAGAGAAAGGGAAAGGGAGCAGTTTACCACAAATCATTCATCTGCAGAGGACAATAGAAATATTTTTGTAGTTCACTTTTGAAGCACGGACTATGTTTTATTTCTACATTTTTCACATTCTGATCTTCAAAACTCTTTAAACATGGTCACAAAGTTAACCTTGGGGCAAGTTCATCTAATGAATGATACTAGACACATGGATATCCTGGATCATTATGCCGAACTTAGGCATTTTACTTCACTTTTCATTTATCTCTTCTTTGACTTCAGCTAAACATTCAGCAGTGTCTCCCACAGCCTTCTCCTAGACAAACTGGCAAGATAGAGATTGGATAGGTGGTCTGCGAGATGGGTATGAAGCTGGCTAACAGGCCACACTCAGAGAATGGGGATAATGTTTTTTTTACTCAGGCTGGCAGCCCATCACAAGTGAAGTCCCCCGTACTGAGCCCCATGCTACTCAACACCTTCATAAATGACCTGGATGATGGGATTGAAAGCACCCTCACCAAATTTGCTGATGACACTAGACTGGGTGGTGAGTGGGCACATCAGAAAAGAGTGCCATCTTACAGACACACCTGGACAGGTTGGAAGAGTGGACTAGCAAGAACATATGAAGTTTAACAAAGACAAGTGCAAGGTCCTGCAGATGGAATGACATAACCAAAGAGCCCAGTACAGGCTGGGATCTGCGTGGCTGGGGAGCAGCCTTGCTGAAAGGGACCCCAACGGCCTGGTCAACAACAAGTTGAACACGAGTCAGCAGTGCACTGCTGCAGCAACAAAGGCAAATTGGATCGGGGGTTGCATCTGCAGATGCATTACTAGCAGAGGCAGAGACATGATCATCCCACTCAACTCAGCGCTTGTCAAGCCACACCTGGAGTACTGTGTCCAGTTCTGGTCCCCACAATTCATAAAAGATGTGGAAAGACTGGAGAGGATCCAAAGGAGAACCACAATGATGATCAAAGGGGTGAAGAACCTGCCCTATGAGGAAAAACTGAAGGAGTTAGGCCTTTTCTCCTTGCAGAAGAGAAGGCTCAGGAGAGACCTGAATAGAGTATTCCAGTACATAAAGGGCGGCTACGAAGAGGGCAGAGGCTCTCTTTTCACAAGGAGCGACATTGAGAAGTCAAGTGGCAATGCGTGCAAGTAGCACTGGGAGAAGTATCATCTCAATATAAGAAATAAATTTTTTTCAGTGAGAACAATCAATCACTGCAACAACCTCCCCAGGTACATCCCATCACTGTTGGTTTTCAAGATGCGGCTGGACAGGATGCTAGATGATCTCATCTAGGCTCCCTTTCCAATGGAAGGCTGAACCAGATGATCTTTCCAAGTCACCTCCAACCTGAGCTGTTCTGTGATTCTATGACTTTATGACTCTATGACTCTATGACTCTATGATTCTATGATTCTATGATTCTACGATTCTCTTTCTATTTATTATTCATTCAGTCAGTAAGGAAGACATTTCTATTATAATATTATGATCTGTCTCATTGAGAATCTCAATGAATTAAATAAAAACCTTATTAGAAATGTTTGTTTCTACGGTAATTGAGTGATTTTGTATAGCAGATCATAAAACTAGGTAAGTGAGAGGTTAGAATAGAGACTAGACTCATATCCCCATAAACCAAAATATTTTTATGTTTTGGAAAGAAAAAGAGATGTGAGAAAGAAACTGTCTACTTCATCAAATAGTTGTAAACCACATCTTCCAAGAGAGGAATTATATTCCCTAGTTTAGAATATTGACTAACCTTAAAAATACACAAGGTAGTTCCTTACACTGGATGCACACATTCATTTAAGGGGTTACACAACAGTGGAAAGCTGCAGGATACTAGTACTGGGAAATAAGAGGATTTTTAGTAGTTATCAGTTCTGCTTAGCATGGATGAAGATGACCAGTCATAAATAAGTTGTCAATACTGTAAATCTGCCATTATGAGACGGTGCAGTCCTGTGAGGACGGAGCAGGGCTACAAGCAGGATCACAATCCTGGACTTCAGGAGAGCAGACTTTGGCCTCTGTAGGGATCTGCCTGGAGGAATCCCATGAGATACAGCTCTGGAGGGAAGAGGGGTCCAGGAGAGCTGTTTGATATTCAAGGATCACCTCCGCCAAGCCCAAGAAAAACCCATCCTGATGGGCAGGAAATCAAGCTAAGGTGGCAGGAGGCCTGCATGCATGTGCAAGAAGGTCCTGACTAAACTCAGGCATAAAAAGGAAGTGCACAAGAGGTAGAAACAGGGGCAGGGGAACCAAAAGGAGTATGGATGCGCTGTCCAAATGTTGAGGGATGGACTTGGGAAAACAAAAGACCACCTGGAGGTGAATCTGGCAAGGGACATGAAGGGCAAAAAGATATGTTTCTACAGGTATATCAGAAACAAAAGAAAGGATGGGGCAAACACAGGCCTGCTGCTGGATGGGGTAGGGGCCCTGGTGACAAAGGACACAGAAAAGGCTGAAGTATTCATCGCCTCAGTCTTTACTTGTAAGACTGACCTTCAGCAGTCCCAGGCCCCTGTGACCACAGGGAAAATCTGGAGCAAGGGAGACTTACCCTCAGTGGAGGAGGACAAGGTTAGGAAGCACTTAAGCAAACTGGACATACACAAGTCCATGGGGCCTGATGAAACTCACCTACAAGTGCTAAAGGAGCTGGCAAATGTCATTGTGAGGTCGCTCCTGATTATCTTTGAAAGGTTGTGGCAAACAAGAGAGGCTCCTGAGGACTGGAAAAAAGAAAATATCACTCCTTGACCTAAGGAGGGCAAGAAGGAGAACCCAGAGAACTACAGGTTTGTCAGCCTCACCTCAATCCCTGGGAAGGTGATGGAGCAACTGGTGCTGGAAACCACTTCCAGGCACACAAAGGACAAGAAGGTGATCAGGAGTACTTAGCATGAATTTACAAAGGGGAAATCAGGCTTAACCAACCTGATGGACTTCTATGATGAGGTGACTGGCTTGGTAGATAAGCGGAGAACAATGAAAGTAGTTTGTCTTATCTTGATTTTTGGTAAGGCTTTTGGTGCCATCTCCCATGACATCTTCATAGACAAGCAGCTCAAGTTTGGTCTACATAAGTGGACAGTGAGGTGGACTGAAAACTGGTTGAACTGCCAGGCTCAAAGGGTTGTCATCAGCAGCATGAACTCCAACCAGAGGCCAGTCACAAGTGGTGTACCCAAGTATTGATACCAGAGCCAATACTGTTAAATTGTTAACTCTTCCTTAAGGAGCTGGATGATGAGAGCAAGTTCACAGATGATAAAAAACTTGGAGGAGTTGCTCATATACCAGATCTATGCTGCCATCCAGGGGGACCTTGACAAGCTGGAGAAATGGACCGACAGAAAACTCATGAAATTCAACAAAGGAAAATACCAAGTCCTGCCCATGGGGAAGAGTAACCCCATGTACCAGTACACACTGGGGACCAACTGTGTGGAAAGCAGCTTTGCAGAGAAGGACCTGGTGGTTCTGGCAGTCAACAAAACGAACATGAGCCAGCAATGAGCCCTTATGGCAGAAAAGACCAAAAGCCTCCTGGGATGCACTGGGCAGAACTTTGCCAACAGGACTAGGGAGGTGATTCTTCCCCTCTACTCAACACTGGTAAGACCCATCTGGAGTGCTGGGTCCAGTGCTGGCCTCTCCAGTACAAGAAAGATACTCATTTACTGGAGGAAATCCAGTGAAGGCCACAAAGATGATTAAGGGACTGGGGTATCTGTCATTCAATGATACTGAGAGAGCTAGGGTTGCTCAACCTGAAGAAGAGAAGGCTCAGGGGGATCTTAGCAGTGTGTATGAATACCTGATGGGGGGAGTGAAGAAGACAGAGCCAGGTTATTCTCAGTGGTGCCTGGTGACAGGACAAGAGGCTGTGGGCATAAATTGAAACACAGGAAATTCCATCTGAACATAAGGAAATACCTTTTTACTGTGAGGTTAGATGAACTCTGGAACAGGTTGCCCCAGCGAGGCTGTAAATTCTCCATGCTTGAAGATACTCAAACCCCGACTGGACGTGGTCCTGGACAACCTGTTCTCATTGACCAAGATAGAGCAGGGGGTTGGACTAAATAATCTCCAGAGGTGCCTTCCCATCTTGGTGGTTCTGTGATAACTGAGAACCTCCCAGTTAACATGGTTTATTGAGAGATTAACTGCAAAACTTCAATTTACTTGCATTGTAACGTTTACTGCATACGAGGTGGTGATGGGCAATCCAGCTTCTTAATGAATCATGCATTCATGGTAAGCAGGCAAATAAGAGCACCTGGTTTACACACTGCATGTGTCAGAGCTGAACTTGCTGAACTTGCTCAGTGAAGTACATATAAAATTCTCCTTATAAAACCAACTTAAAACAGCCTGAAGAAAAAAAAATCCATTTTATTTAACTACCCACCTGTGAAATATGAAAGAAATCCTTAAATACTCTAGAGTAGCTTACTCATTGTTTGGAAAATAGAAATGTTATAGACCCCAGCTCAGTATTGTGCTTAACACTATGCTTTAATGTAAGTATATGTTCAAAACCTGTTTTAATTCATTTTCACATAGCTCAGTGGTACTTAGATACATGTGTAACTGTGCAATTAAATGCTTTGTTGAAAAGGTGCCCGTGACATTTCTGAGACACAATATAATCCAAGATGCTGAATAACGCTATGATTTGCAAATCTGTTTGCAAATGTAACCGCCAGCAGCTCTCTGCTATGCTTAATGCCAGTAATTTAAAATGCTGATTGCAAGAAAGGTTTATGCTTTATTCCAGTATATTTTAAAACTTATTTTTACTACTTTAAGATTCACAGTCAGTTTTAATTAAGACTCTTAACAAAACTGTAAAATCCCACTATGCATGGGCATTATTTCAGAAAAAAATTAAGATGGTAACATGTCTCATTTTCCGGGATGTAGAAGTGGTGTTACCTGCTAGAAGTGTAAGATAACATGAGGCAGTAAGAAAACAACACTGAAACTATCATGCGAAGAATGCTCTGTAATTTATTTTTTTTTTTTTTAGCCTAGTTATAATAAACATAGTGTGTGTAAGGAAAAGAGGGGTTTTTTCCCTTTGAATGTTTCAATGGAAACTAAAAACTAATAGTATTTTTCCAGCAATTTAAAAAAACCCCAAACCAAAAGCAAACCCAAAACTCAGAACTGCTCACTGAAACTTTATTTAGTAAAACTGAAAAATACAAAAAGCTGGGTTTTAGCTGATTTTTTTTTATGTTTGTTCTGTTCCGTTGTGGTCTTAAACCCCACAGTTTTTCTGTGGAAATACCAGTCAGTGACTATTTTACACGTATTTTGAACCCTATCTTTTTAGATAATGAAGTTCCTTTTGGAAATGGTGCTAAAGTCATGTACAGTTGAACAGAGACCAGGTGTTAGTACAGTTCTGATTCCAGCTGAATTTTCTTACATAGATGCACGCTGATTTGGGCAGGTGACCTGTGTGCAGTTCACACCTTCACCACTCCTGTCTGTCTAACAATGGTTTTCTTCAGTGCCCTTGAGCGGAGCAATAGGACAGACCTGAGCTGTGTATCAGTATCACGATTTTCCTTTGCATAAAAAGCTGGATTGTGTAGCACACAGTCTCTTGTAACATCTCAGCAACATCATATGTAATCCCCTGTTCTGTTCTCTCTCCAGAAGGAGTGCTAATTACATGTTAGATAATTAGACTATAAATATCCATCCAGTCGATGAGATTTAAACACCCTCGTGGATTTGATGCTAAGCTCTTTGTGTCTGAGACAGTCTTTTCTTTTGTTCTTTGGTTATCTTGCACAATAAGGCACAGTCGATGCCTGAGGTTCTGGCAGATTTAGTAGCAGTACAATGAGGATCTGAGTGAGGAAGATAATGTGTTTATCTTAACTAATATAACATCAGGAATTTTATCACATCTGCAATGGGAGGCTGTTACCGTATCTTCAGTCTCTGACTTTTTGTGTGACACCACCTATATTCCATCTTAATTTAAATTGTTCTCCCCAGAAACTATCATGAATTTTTCCAGTGACATCAGTGGGAACAACATCAAGCCCTCAAAGACAAGCTCTTTAACTTTCATAAAACATTTAAATGCAGAGGAGCTTAACATAGCGGGTAGATGTTTTCAGATGTCTTCTAAGACTGGATTTCTCATTTAAAACTAATCCCACGTCACCTGAAAAACTTTCTAAAGTGGCCCGCCTTTAAAGCCTGTTTGTGTATTCTGCAAGCATGCCAAGTTCTGTTTGGAATAATTCTTAACCTAGGCTCGATCAAAAAGAAACACAAAAACTTTGCGTATTCTGGGTAAACATAATTGTGCTCCCACAATTATGTTGGTGAACAGAGGAAAACTATTGAGCTATGTATTGCCATTAAAATTATTCATTTAAATGGGTTATTTCCATTGTGCACAGGTGGTAAACTTATCTCACATGTTTTTTGTATAAAAGCCTGAAATAAGTGAACACTGGCAAACAGAATCTAATGGTGTCATTAAAATGATTGTAAACATGCCTGTTGTGGCAGATGTGTGCTTTCCTTCTGCTGATATACATTCGGATTGTTGGTCAAGATCAAACAAATGCAGACTTTTAGCATGTCAAAAAACGTCTGCGTTCTAACAGGTACTGCTTGGAAAGAGATCTGTTTCCTTAAGGGCCAGGATAGCTATAAAATAACCAGACTGCCTGATCAGATCCAATGTCTACTCTTATTTTCTTTGATTAGAGCTGTATTCCCTGTATTCTCTGCCATCTACGGTTTCAGCTGAACAAGAGATTATGTGTTGCATCATTCTGGTTTGAAGAAACATTTCAACAGAGCAATAAATGTAGAGAAATATACAAAACTCAGAGCCAGGAAGCCACCAGCTTTTTCTTCTCTCTAAAAACTTTGCCCTCCGTTTAACTATAATTGCCAGCTTTCCAGTGATTATTTACTCTACTACACAAGGTAACACAGGCATGGCTGTTGTTATCCACCAGAGGATAGGATGACTTTAAACACATTTCCTCAGAGCCAAATTCTCCAGCCTAAAACAAAAGTTGATGGACAGCTGGGAATACAGCAGAACCATGTGCTTCCCTTCTGCTTGGAGCAGGAGCTGTGCTCCACGGCTACTTGTAGAGAAAAGTGTAGCTCTGCGGTTGCTCAATCAGCCTTCAAGCGAAAAGTCCTCTGGAGTCTGGAGTAAGGCTTGTGGGGAAAGAAGCCAGAGGATTTACAACCATCTGTCTGTACCCTTCCCTTGGGAAAATGTCTGTGCAGTAGTTATATGTCCCAAAGGAGGGATTCCTTCTCAATATTTTTTCAGGCAACGCCCTGTACGAGAAAGGATTGGTTTTGCCATCCAGGCTTTAAGCTTCTGTTTATTCAGAATAATGCTCAGAATCCTTAAATGTTTGCAGTGTCACTTGTACTAAATCCTAGTATTTAGACTTTATAATTGCAAAATTAATTTAGCTCACTTTAGTTAGCCAAGAAACATTGCTATAGCCCAATCTACCTCTTGTACGTTGGCTAACTGTTTTCATCTTTGCTCAAGTGCAAAAGAAAGTCAGATCTTCACTATGTGTAAGTGTCTGTAGCTCTACAGGTAATGATGGTGTTATGCCAACACACCAGCAGAGACAGCCACTTTACAGACAGCTACAGGTCATATGTCTTGGAAGTGAAGCACTTCTGTGTTAGGAATGTACTGGATTTTAAATTTGGGGCCTGAATCTCTTGTCATCAGCATCAGTGGAAGTCCAGCACAGCTTTGGAATTACGTAGGTGTAATACTGATGCATAAGACAGCAAAATCCATTTCATACAGCACAATGCATCTTTAGAAATGGTAAAAGACATACAATGTGCCTTTCTTTTTAAAACACATGAATCTCTTTACCTAAAAGTACATCAAAATCTTAGACTGCCTGACTTCTTTCTGTGTTGTTGAACTGCCTGAATATAGATTGCCTGTGGTGTTATTAGATTACTGTATTTGGACTTGAGACTTGATACCTAAGCAACCAGGATCAGAACAATATCTCTACCCAACTCACTTAGCTAATGAAAGCACCCCCCATATTCTCTCAACCAGATGAAGCACAGAAGGTTACACAAGAAAAGGTTTCTTTTAGCTCAACGTGAACTTCAGTTTCTGAATCAAATCCTTTACGCTGTACACTAAC